ACCAGCGTGGGCCACTCCCCTGATATACCCACCTTTTTTTGGAGGAGCCGGTCAATCGTGGCAAACTGAATCTCGTTGCCGCCGCCGCCAGCGGGCTGCTTGGGATCCCCGGCGCGGATCAGCAGGACATCCTCCACAGCCTCCGTAACGTTGACCGACTCAGATGTCCTTCCTGCTGTCCCTCATCGATAACGAGGGTACGGCAATGGGTTAACGCTTGCAAAACCTCGGAATGCCAACGACTCAGTTGTTGTGCCCCCGAGCCCTGTGTGATTAAGAGGATGCGCGCCTCAGTCAAAGGTGGGGGCGGGGCATCATCCGCCTCCTCATGGGCGGAGAGCCATGCGTCTAATAAAGACCCCAGCACCGGTCCCAATTCTCCGCCGGGTCTTTTTCCCTTGCCTTTGCCCTTGTGGCCCGCTCCGTTGGCGAGCGGCACATGATCATGGACCGTGGAGAACAACTCCTGCTTGCCTGATACCCGTCGGACCACCAGCAAGCGACGCAGCCACGTAGGCGCGTCAGCCAAAACTATGGGATATCATGAGTACGGCAAGCAACGCCGTGTGCTGCTGAGATGTCCATACCACCGGGAAGTCCAAGACCGCATCAATACATAGCACGGCAAGGGGAGCGAGAATGTCTTGGACGCACCAGGACAGCCAAGTATGTTGAGAGAGGTGCGGTTGCTGCCTTGCGCCACCAGAATGGCCTGGATGTGTGCCAGCAGGAGTCCGTCCGGGTCATCCAGCCAGAAACACTTTTCAAGCCGAGGGTTTGGAGGCCATCAATGGGGTGGCATTCAACCTTGACCTGGTCAGCTCCGCACGTCTGCTTACAGAGGTATATCTCCTGATTACAGCTGTTCGCGACCCGCAGGCCGTGCAATGGCAGTTAACACCGGGTAGGCCCCCCGGTACGCCTAGCATCGGGCGGCTGGCGTCCACCAGCACAGCCAGGGAGGCCCGGCGGCCCTTCGTGACCCACAAAACCCCGATTTCTGGAGATACCCAAGTCTGCGGAGGGGTACCGCATCTGGCACCCTGAACGCCTGAAGCACCTAGTGTCGGTTGTCCTCACTTGTTTGTACATCACACAGGGCCACAGGATACGAGCCCTCGGCGGTCAGCGATTGGTGCTGGTCAATTTGGCCAATTTAGTGCTACACAACTTCCAGACGTATGTTGGCCTAAGCGAGTGACGTGGAGAAGGGGAAGCTCCTCGCAGATTGGGCCCGAGAACAGGAGCCGACGTTACCTGCACCAGAGGAGATCACCACAGTCCAGCAAGCGGAGGCTGTCTGGCAGTTCCTGGACCGTCGACATGCTGAGCTTGGCCCCTTCATCGACCTCTTCACGGCGACGGCATGCGCCGGCTCTACGGGGGCTGTTAACTTGTGTATCGTTGACCGGTTTGGCGACTTCACTGAGTGCGGGGAAGCCGCGCATCAGCGACTCACTGCTGCAATCACCCGTGGAACAGGGCCGCTATTGGTGGTGTCCCCGGCACATGCCTCAGGATTGCTCGCCGCGGCGCGCATGCACGCTAGGCTACATGGCTCTTTGATGCAGCGGCAGACAGTCTGTGAAAACAAAGGTTTGCCGCCGACATGGAGGCGGCCTCTTGCAAGCGACCGTGATATTGTGCAGGAGTTCCATCAGCGATGGCATGTCCATTCTTTCCCGCCCATCGTGGATGCTACGGCCCTGCTGGTTGTGGTCTTCGATGAGGACTCAGGCCAACACCGGGCCCAGCCCCATTTGCGGGGCCCCGACAAAACCCTGACGGGGCAGCGTGGGCAGTCCTGTGTCTTCAGCTACTTCTTTCCTGTCTTCGACACAGCTGACCCATACGCCGTCATGCTTGATGTGGATGACGTGCGTAAGCTCTCCCTGTATGGCTTACGAGCCTATCATGGGCGAGGAGTCCAGCCCTCGGCTCGCCTGTATGAAGCCTTCGAAGAATCACACTTCCGCAGCATCAAGGGGCGTGCGGACGTGAGCAGTGAAGTTACGGAAATGATGGTGGACACGCACAACACGAAGTGGGCGGTCGCCTCACTCCCGGGCAGCTATTACTTTGCACACATCGCCACGGATCATACAACGCAGGAGTTCATGAGGTTCCTCCGCTATCGACCACGTGTGCCAGTGGCAGCAGGGGTCGACCTCCTTCCGATTCAGCGATGATGGCACTTTGTCGGCCGGGCTAGCGGCGGCTGCAGGATACGACAAACCTTAAGCGTACTGTAAGCGCAGGTGCGCGAGTCAAGAAGGACCCTGCCTTTGCGGATGAGCTTTGCAGTACGGGCTGTCCTTGTCTGGCTGCTGCTCAAGCATGAGGGTATGAGGGTCCGGGTGGGCTGTGGGTCCACAGACGGCGTGTTGAGAGCCAAAAAAATAGTCTGCCAAAAGTCTCAGTAACACCCTGCAAAACCCACAAACAGAACATGGTGCAGGCACAGAAAACATAGAACCACAAACTGGAGATTCCAAGCAAGGCTTGCGGGCACAGGTCGTTGGTAACACCTTTGATTTGATTTCTTTTGAAAATCACAGCAGGGCTTGCGGGCAGAGGTCGTTGGTAACACCTTTGATTTTTTTTGTGAAAATCACGGCAGGGCTTGCGGGCAAAGGTCGTAGGTAAGAACTTTGATTTGGAGGATGTTTGTTTTGCACGTATTGCGGGCCAAAATCGTCGGTAGCAACTGTATCTTTAGCATGTTTGTTTTGCCCGGGATTGCAAGCATGTTCTCTACATGAAATCTGAGTACGGCGGTACAGATTGAATTTGTGGCCAAAAACTCGATCAAAACATTTCTCCTGAGATGCCTCTCGCAACTGGCGGGCGAAGGTTTCTGATATGTGCTACGTGATTCATGAAAACTTTACCTTTTTGAGAGGGTTTGCTCCGTAGAAGAGTACGTGGGTATGTGTACGTACATGTGCATGCACGCATGTGTGTCTGTGCATATATGTCTGTGTAAATACGTATGTAAGTATGTGTATATATATATATATATATGTATATGTATATACACGTCGCTGGGGCAAGATCAGACCAGACATAGATCTCCCGACCGTCGTCGCCTCAGAGTGAAGCCTCTGAAGGGCCTTAGTGGTTAGTGGGTTGTTGTTTGTATGGTTATTGCGTTTTATGACAAGTGTTAAAGAGAGGATCGGGTTTTTCAGTCTTGTGTTTATAGAAATATAGATCCTATATGGTTTTAAGCGGGGAGCAAGGAACCAGTAGGTGTTGATCGGGTCTAGAATGGGTTTAAAGCATCTAAGCAAGGGAAGAAGAGTTCTGGTCAGGTTAGAGGTAAACGTCCTAAACAACCCCCACCCTAGGTGTTATCGGGTGTAGTATGGGTTTAGAGCATCTAAATAAGGGAAGAAGAGTCCTAGCCAGATTACAGCTAATAGTCCCAGACAGCCCCCTCCCCAGCCTCCTTCCTCCCCCCCTGCCCCCCCCCGCCCACGTCTCGTTCAGGCAGGATGTCAGGTTCCATAATCGACTCCTTCGTGCGGGACCTCCCGTGCGCCGGGATGGCGCCAGGACAAAGATCAAGTCTGCGCCGGGATGGCTGCAGGCTGAAGACCCCGCTAATGCACCGGGATGGTGCTGGGGCACACCCTTAGCGCACCGGGATGGTGCCGGGTGTCAAAGACCTCGGAGTGCGCCGGGATGGCGCCGAGGCCGACCCACAGCGCACCGGGATGGTGCCGGGTCGAGAAAGACCCCTTAAGAGCACCGGGAGGGTGCCGGGGCGGGCCCTCAGTGCACCGGGAGGGTGCCGGGTTCTAAAGACCTGAGATGAGTGCGCCGGGAGGCGCCAAGGCCGACCCTTAGTGCACCGGGACGGTGCCGGGTGGCGACGACGCTGCGGAGAGCAGCTGTGAGGGCGACGACGACGAGACGACGACCCGGACGACGACCAAGACGATGACAGCGACGACGACAGTCAATTTGTCTGAGGAGACAGACGAGGTCGGGAACATTTTGACATGTGCACGTAGACAATAGACGTCATCCTAACCGGTGCCATAGGAGCGAGGTAGTGTTCACTTATACCGGCAACATATCAAACGCAGTGCTTATGACCCTCAAAGTTTGCGACTCCTAATTAATCGCTTCTACGAAGATGGTCACCGCTACCATTATACTATGATTTCTACTTCTTGTACTGCTTGGGGTGCTTCTACTACTGCTGCTATGTCTACTACCGGTATTGCTACTGCTGCTGCTGCTACTGTTACTGCTACTCCTCGTCTTCGTTCTCGTACTCGTTCGACCTTTCTATCTCTCCGCAGAATTCGGTATTTTGATTAGGACGTGTGCACAGAAGGTATCTGGAGCCGACGAGTAGAAGTGGTAGTCGCAGGAGTATTCACAAGAATTCATATTCATATTATTCGCAGAACACTAGAGGAGGAGTGGTAGTGGTAGTGGTAGTGGTAGTGGTAGTGGTAGTGGTAGTAGTAGTAGTAGTAGTAGTAGTAGTAGTAGTAGTAGTAGTAGTAGTAGTAGTAGTAGTAGTAGTAGCCCTGCACGAGCAGGCCCGGGGCCAGCCTGCATGGATCTTTGGCAGGCTCACCTCAAGGGTTTGTGATGCCAAGTTTGTGGGGGTTACACATTGCAGATGCTTGCGGAGAGCCGATGCACGTCAGTCTTTTGTGGCACAGGGAAGCTCCGAGCTACGCAGTGCAGTCGCCACCGTCCTCGTAGCGTTCCCTTGGCTAGCAGCATAGAAACAAGCAGAAACGAGTGAGTAACGGAGTTCCTGCATTCTGCCAGGTCTGCCAGGCAGCAAAAATCCCCATCTGATGAGGCCACCTCAGTGGGGACCATGTGCTCGACTGGGTCTTGCCCTAGGTTGGAAGAAGAACATAGACCAGCGCAGACAAGCTGCATTGGCTCAGCATGTCGTCGTATAGCATTAGCCTTCTTCTTCGTCATCCCTTGGCTAGAGGCAGGCGACACATAGCAAGGCTTCAGGACTAGAAGTGGAGCTCATGCGTTCTGCCAGGGAGCGACGCCGACTGCTCAGGAGAGGCCAGCTCTGTGGGGACCATGGGCGGAGAGTCTTCCTGCAGAGTCGCCCAGCATGAGATCAGACAAAACGCACTAAATTATCAGAGAGACAGAGAGCGATGTCCTGATCATGTGCCCGCGCCGGTGAAGTCGGCGCACAGCCGATCGCCAACTCCTGTGCGGTTGGTTCAGGCAGAAGCGGCCCAAACCCAAACCCTTGATTGGAAGAGAAGCAGAAAGCCAACTCCCCAAACCCAAACTTCAAATGCTGGACCCACCCCTAACCCCGCTTCCTCTTTCAGGAGTGCCAGCTCCGCCGTGGCATCCTTCAGCTGGGTGCTCAGAGCCTGGTTCTGGACCTGCCATTAAGCGAGGGTTGGCGCTTTATGATTTATAAGCATATAGAACCTGAAACTATAACATCATGCGTCCAGTATCATGCCGGCCTTCAAATCCACCGAATCCTGGATAGCAACGTCCAGCTTGATGTGCAGATCCTTTTGGTTGTCCTCCATTGTCTTCCACATCTGACGCTCGCTGTCGACCTGCTTCTTGTAGCTCTGGAGCTCTGCCTGTTGTAGCCAACCCTAAAACCTAAACCCCTAACAGAGCAGGTTGCACGGCCTTCGCTAAGGCCTTCTGCACTCTTTCCGCTGCGAGTTGCTCCTGTCGGCATGCATGGTCGGGATGAATGAATGTTTCCACCAAGCGGCAGCACGGTCCTGGAGCTTCTCCACCGACGCCTTCTCCAGCCCGAGCTGGCTCTCCAAAGCCTGGTTCGCCTTCTTGTTGTCAGCCTGCTCCTGTAAAGGAATTCGCTGAATCATGGCTGAATGAAGCTAGCTCCATGCTCCGTCCTCCAGGGCGAGATGCACCATGCGCTGCTGCTTCTCGGCATCTTCGAGCCTAGCGATCTTGTTTGGACAAATTCCGACACCTCAAGGCGAAACCCCAAACCTGACCGGACACGTCGAGCCTCGCCATCTGGATGTCGCCCACCCTTCGCAGCATCTGGAGTTCCATGGCATCCTTTGCCATCTTCGTCTCTGCGGAAGCAAGCTGCTTCTTCACTTCGGCCAGTTCGGCCTGCCAAATCAGATGTACAGTCGAACCCAGCAACAAGGCACAAAGCCCTTCCCCCCCAGCCTGTGCTGTGTCGCGTTCCTGTTCGCGAAGAGTCCCCATTACGACGGCCGAAGCCTGGAGTGCCTGACGGGGCGGATATTTTGCGGGGAAGTTTTGGGGTTTCGGGTCAAAGAAGAGGGACCCTGAAAGGGTGTAAGATTACAACACGGCCCCGAGTATGTTTTAAGATTATGACGAAAGGGCCCTGCCTGCAGATTACCTATGGCGACATCTTTCGCCGCAAGCTTGTCCACGAACTTCTTCGTCACGCGCTCGCGCGCGACGGAACTCATGTTCCCCTTCTTGCGGCGGTTCTCGTCTTTGCCGCGCTTTTTTTTCTTTGCCGGGGCCGCGGCTGCGGCTGTGCCCTGCGGGGGTACCCAGCTCGTATGCCCCGTGGAGGAGTTCCAGTAGTAGGCCCGGCCACTGGCAGCATCGATGACCTGCTCCCATTCCGCAGGAAGTGGCACTGCCGCCGGACCTCCAGTGCGGCCACCACTGCCGCTGGGAGCCGTGGCAGCCGGTGTGGCTGCCGTACCACTGTGGCCACCTTTGCCACCACTTGTAGCTGGCGGTGCGGGCGCCGGACTTCCACTCCCCCCACCACTGCCACCCCACGTCGCGGCAGCTTGCCCATATCTGCTCCAATCCCAGCCACTCCACGAGGAGCCCCAGGCTGAGGAGGGCCACGCCATTGTCCACAAGTCCGCTGGGCGGGTCTAGAGCAATTAAGCCTACGCATGTAGTGGCGCCTGCCATTTGTCCTACCTTTCAACTCCCTGGAAACTGTCTGACACCGACACGCGGTTAGAAGTTACAGAAGATTATGGATTGCTGTGTTTGACAAAGCTGCTGGGTGCAGTGTTCCCGAAACTTAGGGGTGCTTAGATTAATTACTAATCTTTGGTTACTATCATCCCTATAAGACGAAACAGCTAAAAGTATAGTTAGGGGTCTAAGCTCGCCATAGCTAAATGTTGACGAGAAACACGAATGTGGAACATGACATCAGTGCATGTCTATGCTGAGAGCATTCGCACGCACGGACATGCGTGTTTCATCATGCTCATGCCATGTCGACACTGCAAGCACAAAAGTGTTTGGTACGCTTGCTGTTCCTGGACTCAATGACCACTCAGGCTCGTGCTCCTGGATGCCGTCCGGCTTTTGCTGTCAGGCCAGCCCTGCAATGGGAGTTCAGTGCTCATGGATGCAGATTTCACATGCTTCCGGAGTCGGGTTATGGGGACGAAGCGACCGGTCTCGAAATCTTAAGTTTGTGAGACGCTGGGCCTTGTTTTCGAGACACTGGTGCGGCAACCATAGCATGGGGGACCTCCAAAAGCTAGACTGTCAGTGCAAAACAAACCAGCTCGCTAGCAGAAATGAAGTGACAGCTTCGACCTTAACTTAGGCAGTCTCACTTGCAGCCATGGTCAAAGGAAGAAAGGAGACGGCTGTGATCTATTCTAGGGTGTCTACCAAGGCCAACCAACACGGCGCTAGTGTCACGCGGCAGCAACAGGCCTGCAAGGAGGTGTGCAGCCGCAATCGATGGGACATCGTGCACAATGTGGCCGAAGTCGTCAGCGGTTCACTGCCTAAGGATCAACGACATGTCTTTTGCAATCTCCTACGGACCTGCAAGGAGAAAGGGATCAAGAACGTTGTTGTGGAGGGCTCTCGCACTGTATCCCGCACTGCAAAAACAGCAGAAGAGTTCTACGACCTGTGCAAGGAGGCAGGGATCAAAATCACTGCGGCAGACATTCCAATGCTCTTCGACGACAGCACGGGCAACCCCGCACAGCGCTTCATGAGACACGTGCTGTTCGGCTACGTTCAGCTGGAGCGGGACATGCTCGTACATCGCCTGCAGGATGGCTTGGCACGCAAGAAGCGAAAAGCCGAGGAAGCTCGCAAGAAGGGCCATCAGCTTCCAAGATCACAGCAAGGCACAGTCAAGGTTAACGGCAGACGATCTATCCTAGAAACCAAGCAGCTGAGCAAGAGGCAGATTGAGCAGAAGCTGGGAGGCCTCTTTCACCAGTACGACAATGGCCGGCTCAGCGTCCGGGACCTGGCGAAAAAGATTTCGGATCGACTGGGATGCAAGAAGACTATCTCTCACGAGACAGCCCGTCGCATGTTCCATGCACATGCGGAGTGAATGTTTCAATATCTATGGCCTGCTAAAATCTGCAAATCAGACTGCTGCTGAAGTCCCTGTGCGGCCTGGGCGTGGGCTTCGCCAGAGAGCGCCTGCCACCATCCTGGCCCCGCTGTGTAGCTGTTAATGCTGCTAATGTAAGGCTTTCCGTCGTTGAGAAAAAAAAGGGGGCGGACTTTCAGATGAGCTATCTAGGACCCGACCTGTACACAAATCCGGAACTCTCGCGAACTTTGTTTTTCTGCACAGCAGAACGATCAGAAACCTCAAGCACTCCAGCTTCTGTAGAGATTCCCCCTTGCTGAGGCTCCTTGAGAGCTAGGTCAGTGCAAACTGACGAGACCGGCTGCTTCCAGGGCCGCTTGCATGACTCTGGCTAACAGAGGTACTGGTATTGCGTTGCCTGCAATCTGCCGTAGCTGCCGCTGAGTAATGACACCCTCGGGAAGCATGTCGTAGTCCACTCCCTGCAGCCGGCAAATTTCTGCCGTCGAGGTCCTGCGCTGACGCCAGCTGAGCCAAAAGCCTCCGGCGGCAGCTCTGCTGCGAGTGAGGCACGGGCAGTAGTTCTCGTTGTAGTGCGCCTGGGAACCGTCCACGTTCATGACTAGCTGCACCTCCAGGGGATCACGCCCTCCGAGCAGGACTTTCTCGAAGATGTCCCTGGTGTTTCGTTTCGCGGTTGCTGTGCCAGGCATTCGTCCCGGAAATGGAAGGAGTCCTGCACCAGCGTCGTCGTCGATGAAGTCCGACAGAGGTTGCGCTGGCACCTGCAGGCGGATACCCAAGGGCGGGAAAGGGATCTAAGAAGGGGCAAGTCAGGCTTGGGCGACCCTGCCTCACCCGGCCAGCACATCTGTTGCACTGCAAACTGTGCACGGATGGCAACGATGAACAGACGCCCTCTGTTTTGCGGAATAAAGCCATGTGTTCTGCAGTTCAAAGCTTGCCACGACACTTGGTACTCGGCCTGTCCTGCTTGTCCCTGAAAACTACGCAGAACCTCGATGATCAGAGAGAGAACTTCCGGGTGGCGTTTCGCCAGCGAGTCTACCTGCTCCAAAATCACAACCTTTGGCTTCCGCAGCTCGATCCAGCGCAGGATGGGGAAGATGAGGAGTCCATCGTCATCATCGAAGCCGTGGCCCAAGCCGGCTTGGGACCATGGTCCACATGGTGCTCCGGCCACGAACACGTCCACAGTGGGTGCGGACATGAAGTCACGAAATGCATCCTCGAAGAAGTAGATGTGATCGTGAGTAGCTGCGGTCAGCAGGGATGCAGGGCCCCAAGACTCGCACGCAAAGACTTCTCGAGCATGCAGCTCCAATAGCTGCGCTGCGAAGACTTCACTGCACCAACCGGAGCAGCACGAACCTATAGTAATCCGAGAGGTTCGGCATGCCGGCAAGCTTGCGGGAATCTCCCAGCAGCCACTCTCAAGCATTTCCCGCCACAATTCAGGTGCGGTGGTGCCCTTGTCTGCATGGCTTTTGAGCACCCTCTTGAGCACTTTCTTTCGGCAGACCATGGCGCAGCCAAGCCACAGGCTAGAAGACTAAGAAATCCTGCAACAGTAACAGCGAGACTCGTAGGGGCCGTGTCGGTTCACAAGCAAACCAACGATGGACCTACACTGCCAAACATGATGCTCAGCAGTGCCATGCACCAAGAAAGCATGGAAGCGTCCCGAGCCCAGGATCCGGACCTTGATGGGTGGCAGCTCCAGCGACCGTTGAAACCTGACGCTCGTTTCCGGATTTTTTTTGGTTGTGTATCCACTTCTGCTGCTAGAGCATCAGACGCACGTGGGACATGCTGATCCATGCGAAGCTGAAAGAATCTGTGTCCGCGGCAGGAAGCCTGCTGAAGAGCTGCAGCGGGAGCCTGCGAATTAATCTCAGATTCCGTGCTCTAGAAACAGCATTTGCAGAGAACTTTCTGAAGCGAAGTAGCCACATGATCTCTAGTTGTTTTCGTCGTCCGATGCTACTCAGTGCAGTGCTGCGCAATGTCAAGGCAATGGCAAGCAGGCCTGGGGCACGCTCTGTACTGCAGGTTTGGCTGCCAGGGACCCCAGCGACTGCCGGGCTTCTCTGTTTTACATATACACTCTTTCTGTCAGTCTGCGGGGCCCTGACAAAGATCGTGCGCTGCGTGTAGCGCAATGAATGCTGCATCAGCGTGCCTCCCGTGCCCGGGATCAAAAACATTGTCTGTCTGCATAGTGACAAACTTGCGGATACTAGCGGACGGGAGCTCTCCTTACATGATATAGACCACGAGGTGAGTTCTAGTTGCTTGCGCAAGACTACACTGCTGCGGTCGGGAGAGCCCACGCTCAGCTGGGTGATCAAGCAGCCGCCTCGTCGCCCTCATCCTCACTCTCGAAAAGATTCTTCTCCTCACCCTGAGCGTTCTCAGCCCTGAGTTTCTTGATCTTGTCCATAATTTTGTTGGCCAACTGCCCCTTGAGCTTCCGCTTGGTCACACGCTTTGGCGATCCCCCCGCAGTTTCGGACTCCCCCTTCTCCTGGCCACGACCTCGACCTTGCCCACGACCGCCCCTTGCAGAGCGTCCGCCACGGCCGCCCCGGCCACCGCGCCCTCGGCCTCGACCAGGCTTCGATGCATCTGGCTCCTCGATGCTAGGTGCCGGCTGCTGTGGCTTAAGCTTGTCCAACTTCTTGGCCCTCAGTACAAGACAGACTGGCCACCCAAATGGGAGGCGCCAACCCTGCTACGTGCCCTAACCTGACCCAACATTCTGGATGCCTGCAGAGTCACAACTTCGCGTCATGAAGCGGGCTCTTGGGGTCTGTCATCTCCTGCACTGTCAGCTCCACGAGCCTGGCGTGCAGCAGCTGGGCGTGGTCAGCATTGAAGACCACGGAGACGCACGGGATATTGCTCAGCAGGCACTCCATGGGCATGGCACCGTCAACTTCGGCGAGGTTGAGGACCATGCCCGCTTGCAGCGAGAAGAGCAGTTCCGCCAAAAGCTTCCGCGGAGAGCCCCAGAAGGTCGCGGGCTCCTTGCCATCAGTGAAAACAGGTCTGTCTTCCTGGGGACCCGGGCCGCCCGCCAGGGACTTTCCTTGCTTCCCATACAGCTTCTTCTTGCTCTCCGCACTGAGACGCCATGTTGCGGCACTGCCGTAGGTGTCCAACACCACAGGTCCTATCAATGTGCCGGAGGTCTTCCCGTCGTAGAAGCGCCGGTTGCGGGACTCGACTGTGAGCGTGTCCCGCGTGTAGATGTGGAGGCCCTCGACCTGGTTGATGATTCCACGGGACATACTCTTCCTGGCAATGATGGAATTGTAGTCGTAGGAGATGTGCTGCAGGCACCGGCTTTTGGTGAGGTAGTCCCCGTCCGGATGCACGAAGACCTGGTTGAGGTTGTTCTCCAGTCCGGGTCGGTAGCCATCAGCGAAGGCGACGACGACATTGTCCGGCATCTCGCTGAGAGACCAGATCTTCAGAAGTGCTCCGAGGGATTCCCTTGGCACCTTGGTGCTGAATGCGGGCACCCTGCAGTGCGGCTGAGCACTGCTCTCACCCGCCACCTTCGTGTCCATGTAGATGAGCAGATTCTGCCCGGCTTTCAGCTTCTTTGCAAAGCTGGCAACCGGCGTGGGTTTCAGTTCGACCTGCATGCCCTCACGGTTCTCCATCATGAGCACAGGTGTCCAGAACATATCCACACGCTTGGCCTGCAGACACATGTGTGCGCACAATATAGCATTCACCACACAGTTTAACTGCAAACCTAGCCACTGCCAGCTGCACGAAGTCCTTCAGCTCAGTAGTGGACTCCTCGTCCAGATCCTGGGTGGTCACGCCCTCGGGCAAGAGGCGGGATAGCGTCTCCAGCTCCGGCTCCGTGAAATTCATGGCTCCTGTCGCGGGCGAGGGCTCCATCTTCTCGTCCTGCTTCAGGGCATCTGCAGGGAGCTCCTTCGCACGGCAATCCTTGGCTTCCTGCAGCTGCGCAGCGAAGGGCTCCTGGGCGAGGATGTCCTTCGGAACTGTAGTCGTCTTGATGGCCGACTTGAGATGAGAATCCTGCCGGGTGCCATAGATGAGAGACTCCAGGAAGCCGAGCACCTTCCTGGTCGACTCATGCATCTCAGCCTGCCATGTCAGGTCCACCTTCGCACCGAAGCCCCCGCACGCAGCACGGTAGTCCGAGTGTGAAGCTATCTTCGCTTTGAGCAACTCCACATCGTCGTTCGGGAAGTGCTCTTGCCTGGGTCTCTTCTTTTGTTCTTTCCCTCGTGGCTTTCTATCTTTCTCTCTGTCTGTGTATCTGTCTGTCTGTCTGTCTCCCTATCCCTCTATCTGTGTCTCTCTCTCTCTCTCTCTGTCTCTGTCTGTCTGTCTGTCTGTCTGTCTGTCTGTCTGTCTGTCTCTCTCTGCCTCTCTTAGCGAATGGGGTGCCGACTCCCGTATAACCGGTTTGCCCCAGAGAGCAACCGAGGACCACACGTGAGCCAGCTCGTGAGCACCCACTGCAAAATTTCTCGCTTAGCGATCCACAGGACCAGATCCCCGCGGCCGCTCTGGTTCTTGCCCAGAAGGGTTCGTTCGTTAAAATCCTTTGGGCCCCAAGAGCCCCCAGAGATCAAGTCCTTCAACGTGCTGAGCACCCACACCGCATCCGCCGTGCTATGGCAGCGTTTGCAGATGGCGTCGAAGATGCTCAGCTCATTGAAGACGGAAGTCTTCCCATGCGTCTCCTCGTCGGATAATATCATCTTTTTGCAAACGTCCGAGCAGAAGAGCAGGTTGTAGGAACGGACGGCCACATCCACAAAATGGTCGCTGATGGGTTTCTCGGTGTTGCCCCGAAAATCCTGCAAGTGAGCTCGGTATTCCTGGGCCAACTTTTTGTTCCCCAGCGTCGGGTGCATTTGCTTGAAGTCGATCACGGCAAAAATACGTGCAGTGGTGCTCAACGACAGCTTCTCGTAGTCGTAGAAGAGCCTGCGTCTCAAGTTGACGCTTCGCCAGAAGCCCTCCTCCTCGTTTCCCACCGTCTCGAAGGTGAAACTGCACGTGAGTGCGACCTTCTTCCACTTCCGCAACGTGGCTTCGCATGCTCCGTTTGTGATCTGCTGCGCCAGGGCCAGGATGAACGCAATGTCAGGCTCCTCTGGCGACAGACGGACGAGGTTCCCAAACTCAGAGCGCAGCTGGGCTGCACTGTGGCTTGTCACTCCAACTGTGATCTGGTACGGGTGCTCGGTCGGAATGGTGTCTTCGGCGAACCACGTGGCCTGGAGATCTTCAATGTTCTTCTGAAGGATTGGGACGTTGGGGCGCGACAGGCGTCTCAACGCCAACCAGAACAAGTTGCCGGCACACTTGTAGGAGCCGTTCCGCTTCATAGAAATCTCGAAGGCGTCGTCCACAAAGGCGGCCTTTCAAGCTGCAGTCGTGCTCAATCAAACTCCGCCCTAGCCAGTTACCAACATCAGCGAACGAAAAAAGACAATCTGAAATCTAACGACACAAGCAAGAATCTGCAGCTCTTCGCCGAGCTGCGGGGGTGCTGCCACCCCGAGCCCTGGCGCGGCCGGGGCGCCCCGGAAGGCAGAGAGCCAGGGGTATGTACATGACCCGGGCTGGCCCAGAGCTAGGGGTCTTCATACCCTTATCTCTCGGTCAGCCGGGGTCATATGCATACCCCTGGCTCTCTGCCTTCCGGGGCGCCCCGGCCGCGCCAGGGCTCGGGGTAGCAGCACCCCCTCAGCTCGGGCAGACCCCAGCTCAGAGACATCGGCAGAACTTTGAGGAAAGAAAGTTTACTCAGAGACATTGACGAAAGACTCAGTGTGAGGGCTGGGTCGGATGAGGCCAAACTCTGTTCAGGAGCGGAAGTTGTCTTTGGCCTCTCACGTACAGAACAAGTCTCTCGGCTCTGCAGTGATGGCTAAGAGCTGTGTCGGATTTTCAACGGTGATGACGGCGAATGATCCTTTCCCCCTAGGAGAAGAGTTGGAGCCGGTAGCTCGACGCTGACTCTGCTGCAAAGACCTGTTCTGCTCGCCCTTGGCACTGCGCTTGCACGCAGGTCGCTTCTTCACCGGCATGACTTCAGAGATACAGCATCGACCAAGCTAGCAGCTAGCTCCACGACATGATTGAGCCTTGACGCCTAGTCGTTGATGCCCACTGGTGCTCATGTTCGTTTGCACTACTTGGAAAAAAGCTTTCAGCATGCACCCTACAGCGTCTCGCCCTCATGGTAGCAGCCATAACTAACACCGTCGGCCCTCCAGCCTTGCGGCTGCGAGGAGCGATACCACGACCTGCGATGCGGAGGAAAGACATGGTCCTCACCTTATCCTCTTTACCTGCACTTGTTGGAAGCAGCTCTCAGCATGCACTCTAGAGAGGAAAGTGCCAGGAACTCAAGCGACATGGTCCTCACCTTACCCTTTCTACCTGCACTTGTTGTAAGCAGCTCACAGCATGCACTCTACAACATGTTACCCTGAAATGTTCAACAAGACCTCCGCCCGTCGACTCTCCAGCCTCCACGATGTGCGGAGCGACAATAGGACCTGCCAGGCCATGAACCCTTCTGCACTTGCTACGGTCTGCAGTCGGTTGCCCCACCCTCGAACCGAGTGCATCCTTTCCCCTCTCGCTTCAGAATGCGTTCGTTCGCACTTAGCGACTGCACAACCCCTGCCACTTAGCGGCAAAACAAGGTCTCTCCCCAAGAGGCAACTTGGCCCAGTTCTTTCATCGGCCACACAAGCCGAACTGGGAGCATGCCACACGCGTCTTCGTGATGAACTCAAAGAAGGAGGCTTTCGTGAAGATGTTCTTCATGTCCATCTGCTGGACGGTCTGCGGGAGGGCGAGAGCCACCACCAGCTTTCCCTCGGCGCAAGACTGCCTCTCGGCTCTCTCGGCGAACTCCTCCCAGGTGTCCAGAATTCTCCACTGGCTGTGGCTTTTTCCCATCGCAGTCACAATGATGTCCGCAACCCCCGGGTGATGTTGCACGAACTCCTCGCTCAGCAAGACGAACCGTTTGGTTCGGACTGCAGCAGCATACGTGAAGGAGACGCCCGCAGTGCCTCCTGTCCGGAGGTAGTGCAAGTCCACGACGGAGCCGCCTTGCAAAGCGACGGTCCACTTGATCTTCTGTCCGGGCGCTGCGGCATCTGTCACCACGAAGACCTGGGCATCTTCCAGCCGTGCTTCGAAGTTCAAGCCTCGTGAGCATGGCAGGCGTGCCCACTCCTGCTTCTCTAGGTAGATGCCGCGAGAAAGCTCCGGGCCCTCGGGCCGCATGATCTTGGATATCTGTGCCGCTCTTCTTCGATGCCCAGCACTGAGGGCTTCCTCATGCGAGGCCCATGCGCGAGCGACCTCTTCGAGACCGGCGGGCACCTCTGACTCAAGGAGCGCATTGTCCAAGAAAGCGAGGACATCATTTCGGAAAGATTTGTCCTCCAGAAATCTCAGCTCCTTGAGCACCTCGAGGGCACAAGCACGGCATTCAGAGCACCCCTTGAGGCCTTAAGGTCGGCATGACAGCTTAAAGAGCACCTGCTCACCCCCGAAATGGACACCCTGCCTTGGGCTGTGCCACCACTGCCTCCTCTGTCACAGACTCCGCCAAGCGCAGCGCAGAGTCCAGGTCCACGATGTCTGTCTCCGCAGCCCTCTTGCGCCGTTGCCTCGCGAAGGCAATCTCGGTACCCTCCTGCAAAAAAAAGGAAGGCATTTTGCGCACGAAGTTGAAGTGAAGGCTACGTGCGACTCGAAACACCGCTGCCCACACGACGCCCCCCCCCCCGTAATCATTCTGCCACGACTGCTGATAGAACAATCTGTTGGACCCCACGCCGCTTCACCCACCCATCACACCCCTTCCGCAGCCGACTGCGAAGCTAAGTGAAGGATGACACACGCTACTACTCTGATCTCCGTGCTTGGATCGCAGTGCCGCTACCGTAGCCAGCAACAGCCAGGAAAATGCCTCTGAGTCTGGCTTTGCAACATGGGGGCTCGTAGGGGGTTGCGACCCAGTCCAATCCGCAGCCTAACAGATGAGAAGAGCACCTAGACTACTTCGAAACACCTCTTGCGGCGGGGACTCTCTGCAGTGTGTTCTTAGACTGCGGACTAGAATTACCCTGTTCCCGGTCCTGTCCTGCGGCTTCTTGCGTGGGACACCAGCATCTATTCGGTCCTTCGCCGAGGCACGCGGAGGGCCAGATGTAAGCTTCCAGATTTCCGATGCCAGCTCACAGACTGTTTCCTGACAGGTGTCCCTGTCACGAAAGTCGGAAAGCAGCTTGGCCTCCGTGAAAAGATGCGCATCTGTGAGATGGTTTCTGTCCGAGGGCACGTGATCCGCCATCTTGGCAAAAAACTGCTCCACGCCACTGGTCGTGGCACCGGTCCAGGCAGCATATCGAGCCAAAACCACACGAAGTACGCCCGATGGATAATTCTCGCGTACTTGTCTCTGCCTTGTAGCTGTGCGGTGCACGGCGCGAGACCATGCGTCGACATTCGACAGTTTGCCTTGCCGAGCTTCGTGCCTGGCTATGGGCAAAGGCGGCGACATTGAAGCCCAGCACTTGCGACAATCTTTCCGCGCCCTCGATCAGCTGACGCGCGTCCTCGGCCGCCTGCGCACGGGTGGCAGGGCCAACGTTGAACATGCGGAAACATGCGAGCAGGCTGAAGGCCGGAAATTCGGCTTGGAGAGTCTTGATCGCTAGCCGAGTGTACAGCCGCAAATGGCCCAAAGCGCGCTCCTTGGCCGCCTCTGTCACCTTCTGCGGTCCTCCCAGAGACTTGGGACAGCCCTGGACGCAGAATCCCCGCGGCTTCTGCAGGATGTCGACGACATGCTGCGCATATCCGCCTGCTTGAAAGGCATGCCCTTCCAGGAAGAGATGCTGCAGCTTGCTCGCGAAGACCTGGAGTTGGTACTGCATCTCCGCGGAGTCGTGCTGCTCGGTGTCGTAGAACCTGACCAGCTGCAGCGCCTCGTCCGAACAGTCGGCTAGGAGCCCCAGGAGCAAAAGCTTCTCCTCATCAATCCATTCCAGAAAGCGCATGCCGTATTGGCAAGAATCATGGCTCTTGTTACTCGAGAGCGACAGAGCCAACATCAAGTGCGCCTCGCAGAACAGAATGAATCGTCCGAGAGGCTTCGCCGCCGAGTCGAAGCGATGTTTCCGCATCGCCAGATTCTTGATGCGGCGCCCGGACGCAGGGCTATCTGTCACCTCCTGACAGAACCTCTCGAAGGCCCGAGCCAGCGTGGGGCTAGCCTGCACAAGCCGCGCCATCGCGCCCTGACCACTGATTGCTGTCTGAAAGCATTCGTGGATGGCGTCAATGGCAGACCATGGCCGACTGAGGATCCTTCGCGCACTGTGCGTGCTGTCTCGCAGAACTACCTTGACAGACGGCCAAAGCTTTCGCAGCGTATTCAGCGACAGTTGAACATCGGATGCCCCGTCCGCATTGATGGCTTCAATGCGCTGTGTGATAAGCTGCAACTTCTCCACGTCGACTTCTCCATTGAAGGTACAGAAGCGACGCAGTGCACTTTGCACGCCGTTTGCAACGTCTTGATGTCCCAGGGACTCTATCTGCTCGAAGCCCAGTAGTCCCCGACGCACCATGACATCGTGATCGGCAGCCTGGAAGCGGATGCAAAGCCGCAGTTGCCGTGCATCCAGCTGGATCAATATGCTGGCAGCTTCCTGGAGTATGCTGGAATCGATCTGCAGCATGGCTTCGCACACACATCGCATCATCTTCAGGACTTTCTTGGCACCTCCGATTCCTGGGCAGCCATGTCTGAGTGCCTCTCCTGGCTTTCGCCGTGCAACTTTGTCGAAGTCAGAGGGTGGCGGAGCGTCCCCGTAGTCCTCGCCAGACTCCACAAGGCCTAGTTCTTCGAGACGTCGTCTGTGACCCTTGCTGCTAGCATGGCGGGCAATGTTGTCAGTGCGTCGCGCATTCTCGAAGACAGTCTGGCAGACGCTGCAGGTGGCTGTGCCATCGGGCAACAGCTTCAACCAGCTGGCTTCGGTGCCGGGTATGCAGAAGGGATCGTGGTCACTCATGGCGGCACTGCGACCTACCTAAGTCTGCTGTCTGCTATGTCGAATTCGCATACGCTGGCTGCTCCGTTTACAGCCATCAGTATCTAGACCTGACATTTGCCTCTTGCTGCGGACCAGTCTCCTACATCAAAGCTCGGCATACGATGGCTGCTGCATCTACGGCAGTCCGTAACTATACCTTGCAATTGCCTCTTGCTGCGGACCCAGGCCTGCGAATGTTTCCATGCGTTGCAGCGACGCAAACCAAATGAGGACAAGTCCTCCTTCAACGGCATCCACGGAATGCTTCCGTGATTGAATCCCATGTGTTTGCAATCCATCCCTCACTGCCCCGAAGACCTGGAAAGGCTCTAGGCACCCGAGATTGGGTTTGGACTTTGGGATGTTGGGGTTCTTACATGCTGGGAAACTGAGTTACACAACATGGCTATGTTGCATCCTCCGGAATCTCATGTGTTTGCAACATAACAAATCCCCTATCCTTCACTGCCCCCCTGAGACCTGGACATGCTCTAGGCACCCGAGCTTGGGTTTGGATTTCGGGACGTTGGGGTTCCTACATGCTGGGAAAGCAACTTACACAAGATGGCTATGTTACATCCTGCGGCACTTACCTGGACTTCTGTGCAAACCATTGCAGACCATCATCAGGCCGGCCTCCCAGCAGCGGCAGCGATAACGAAGTCAAGCCGGCGAGGACCTGAGGTCTTGCGTGACGTTGATGACATGGTCATGTTGAATGAGCACACCGGTAGGAGGATGTCATGTTGAACACCGGCAGTTACATGGACTGTTGCGCAAAGCTTTCCCACTGATGCAATTCCGACTAGCGCTGTGATATCTGCACCCATCATCGCACCCATCATGAGGCCGGCCTCCCAGCAGCAGCAGGGGCGATAAGAACGTCAAGGAGGCGAGGACCTCAGGTCTTGTATCGCGTAGAGGGCGTGGTCATGTCATGTTGAACCAAGCTTGCAGACACATTTTCTCTCAGCGCACTCGTAGGATGATGTGATATTCCAGACATGTAGATCTTTGCCTGGACAATGTATCTCTGTTGTTTCTTTACATGGGGATTAAGGCAAAATCTGCCGAGCTACCATGGGTCAGAGACTGCGACTCTAACGAGCTGTTGTTGGTCCTCGGGCAACTACAGTAGCTGCAACGGACACTGGCACCCGACTGGTTTGGGCTGGCTTCGTACTGCCCAGTGTGTATGCAAGTAGCTGAGGCCCGATCGTGCGCCAGCCAGCGTATCCTGCATCAGAAGCCAACGATTCGGTGACGCACTTAAGCTTGTCTATGCCTCTGACACGCTGTCTCGAAAACAAGGCTGCCCGTCTCGGAAACTTTCCGAGACAGCGTCTTAAGTAGTCGGCAGTGCGTGAAATCTGATCTATCAACACTACAAGTCACATATATCAGGGGGGAGGGATTAAGTGTCGGTGGGGAGCTGACAAAGTCGTTGCAGCTTCAAAGAGCACCGAAAACCCATGGCAGGGCTGGCCTCGCAGCAGCGGCAAAGACGGCATCCAAGGGCACGAACCTGAGTGGTCGTTCAGTCCAGAAAGAGAGTGAGAGTGAGCATGCCCGACACGTCTGCGCTTGCATTGTGGACAGGGCATGAGCATGATGAAATACGCATGTCCGTGCATGCGACTGCTCTCAGCAAACACATGCACTGATGTCATTCCAGGTTCGTATTTCTCATAAAAGTTTAGGACCTCGCTTATTGACTTTCAGCTCCGCATTCAGACCCCAAGTTTCTAGAAGTGTCGGACAGCTTTTCAGGGATTTGAGCGTTTCTTGAACGCTGCGGACTTGCCAGACAATGGCGTGGCACTCCTCCGGATGGGACTCTTCGTGGAGTGGCTGGGATTGGAGCAGCTACGGGCAAGGTGCCACGTGGGGTGGCACTGGTGGCCACAGTGGAAGTGCGGCAACCGCACCGGTTGCCACGGCAGCAGTTGCCCCGGCGCCAGCTGCATCTGGCAAGGGCAGTGGTAAAGGCAAGAAAGGTGCTGCTACGAGTGGTGGCAAAGGTGGCCACAGTGGTGCGGCAACCGCGCCGGTTGCCGCAGCGGCTGGGCCAGCAAGCTCAGCAAGCTCCGGCCTGGCCCCAAACTGGGAGCAAGTCACCGATGCTGGCACTGGCATGCCCTACTACTGGAACCCCGTCACAGGGGAGACGAGCTGGCAGGCCCCGCAAGAGGCAGCGAGGGGGAGGAGTTGGAAGGATCGCAAGCGCGGGCTGAAGGGCGAGGCCAAGAAGGCGGAGAATCGCAGGAAGTCAGGCCTAGCCTCGAAGATCATCAGGGACAAGGTGACGAGGAAGTTCATCGACAGGCTGGCTCAGAAAGACACTGTGATCGGCAATTTGCAGGCCGGGTCCAAAGCACAGGTCCGCACAGAATCCTTTGCAAATATTGCCCTAGCAGGCGCTACAGGCCACCTCAGTGGTGATGGGACAAGTTCGCGAACAAGAGCGAGACAAAGCCCAGGCGAAAAGGGGCGGGAAGGGGGGGGGAGGGCGGCAGGGTGTTCAAGTGTGCTGGCAACTCGAATCAAATCTGTCAGGGGGAGCGTGATGAGCTGGAGCAGAAGCTTCGCAAGATGGAGAGCGCCCTGGTCAAGAGCCAGATGGAGCTGGAGGCTGGGTCGGTACGGTTCAAGTTATCTGTGTCCTTCCGTGCTTGTTTGAAGTCTGTGATGCCAGCCTGTGCAGATGAGCCAGAAGATCGGTGCCGTGCACGCGACCCGCATCGAGGACCTGGAGAAGGACAAAGCCCTTCTCCAGGACACCTTGAAGGACAGTCCATTGCTGCAGTCAGCACACCAGCTCGGGTTTGGAACTCCACTGTTTCCTCACGACCCCTGCCCATCAGGAGCAGTCCCGGTCGCAGACGACCCAGGCAGCCGAGGTGGAGGAGCTCAAGAAGGACCTCGAGCGACATCGGGGTCGGCGCCTGGAGCAGCAGGGCTTGGCCGAGAAGATCCTCGCGGAGCGACAGAGTCTGCAGGACCCTGCTGCTGCACCGTGGAATCTGCTTGCACCAGCTCCTGCACTCTGTTAGCGAAAGGACCAGCTCGCTGCGGAGAAAGCAAGCACAGCGCTGGCGAAGGCACCAACATCCTACACTGCACATCAGGGGGCTTGCTCTGCAAAGGACCCACAGTGACGGTTTAGCTGCAAGGTTTAGCTATGCCCGCGGTCATGACAGGCGGATCTCCTCAGCTACAAGAAGCAGCACGAGGCCGAGCGAAAGATTTGGAAGAAGGTCGAGGCGCATGAGTTGGATGAAATCCAAACATGATAGCAGATGTACACTCAATCTTCATGCCCCAGGAGAGAAGCAAGGACGCGATGTTGCAAATCGATCTCATGACCAACGACTACGAGAAGCAGAAGGCCGGCCAGCAGGAGGGTGATGTGTGGAGTTACATTAAGTGTGCTCACTCAACTAACCCTCTCCAATCAATGTCAGGCTTTGAACCGGGGCCTGGACAGCCAGCTGAAGGATGCCCGCGATGAGCTGGCCAGCCTCAAGAAGGCCGGCAGCTGTCTGGGGTTTTTAGGGGTTGCTGGGGCATGCACTTTGAACTGACGATGGCTCAGGAACTCGGCACTGCCCCTACCGAGCCGGCGATGAGTGCCGCGGAGGATATCCAATACAAATCTCTCTCTCTCTCTCTCTCTCTCTCTCTCTCTCTCTCTCTCAAGCTTTCTCTTATGTTATGAGTAGTCTCTGCAGGACGATGACTCACCCTCACCTCCGATGGTCCCGACGGAGCTGGCCTCGCCAAGGTCGGAGTCCAGCTCAAAATCGTGATCGACTGAGCCGTGTTTTTTTTTCTGAGTCCAATATTCGGCTGCCTGTTGCCAAGGGAGGGCTGATGCTTCACAAGATCCGTGGCTCGGGTATGATGTGAGAGAGAAAAAGAATGCAGGTGCCAATTGAAGTCGCAGCAGCAGCATGTCGATTGCGTGGACATGAAGCATGCGCAGGATGCAGCAATTGTAAACATCAGACACTTGCCATCACTCGAGGTGCGAGCCTGGGCAACCCAAGGCGCGGACGGAGCCTGCATCGGGGACGAAGGAGGAGGACCAGGAAGCATCAAAAGTAGTAGTACTAGTGCTAGTAGTAGTAGGAGTAGTAGTAGTAGTAGTAGTAGTAGTAGCAGCAGTAGTAGTCGTAGTAGTAGTAGTAGTAGTAGTAGTCGTAGTAGTAGTAGTAGTAGTCGTAGTCGTAGTCGTAGTCGTAGTCGTAGGCGTAGGCGTAGTAGTAGTAGTAGTAGTAGTAGTAGTAGTAGTAGTAGTAGTAGTAGTAGTAGTAGTAGTAGTAGTAGTAGTAGTAGTAGTAGTAGTAGTAGTAGAGGTGGCTAAGCCTCGCCAACCGTGGAGATCAGAGGTACTAGGCTGAATCTGCGATCAAACTTGGAGTATAAGTGAACACGAGTTTCCACCCTCCCTACTACAACAAATATGTCCGTGTATGCAGATTAACTACGAAAAAAACACGTGTCACTGGGGCGTTTAATGTGGACTCATGTTGCGGGTGTATAAGTGAACACTACCTCGCTCCTATGGCACCGGTTAGACTGACTGTCACTCACTATTTCAATTTTTTATGGTCCTTGCTATGACTTCTATTTCTGTTGAAATGGTCCTTAAAATTGTCTAGGTGCACATGTGAAAATGCCCCCGACCTCGTCTGTCTCCCCAGCGAAATTGACTGTCGTCGTCCTTGTCATCGTCATGGTCGTCGTCAGGGTCGTCGTCTCATTCGTCGTCGCCCTCAGAGCTGCTCTCTGCAGCGTCGCCGCGACCCGGCACCGTCCCGGTGCACTCCTGGGTCGGCCTTGGCGCCTCCCGGCGCACTCATCTCAGGTCTTTTGGACCCGGCACCCTCCCGGTGCACTGCGGGTCCACCCACGCACCATCCCGGTGCGCTTTCAGGATTTCTCGACCCGGCACCATCCCGGTGCACTGTGGGTCG